ATGTTTTATTCTGTCATGATGAACATGATTTTGAGTAATATTGACCGCAACTTTGTTATCACAATACAACCTTAATGGTAAGGAATAAGAGATCTTCTGTTCTCCTAGGAGTTTTCTTAACCACACTCTCTCACAAACTCCATGAGCTAGTGCTCGGAATTTTGCTTCAGCACTACTCTTTGCAACCACTGTTTGCTTCTTGCTTCTCCAAGTTACTAAGTTTCCTCACACATAGGAGCAATAGCATGAGGTTGACTTTCTGTCTACTGAAGAACCAGCCCAATTTACATTAGTGTAGATTTCAATCATCCTATTATACCATTTTTTGAAAAATAATCCCTATTCTTGTGAACTCTTGAGGTACCTTAGGATTCTATACATTGCTCCTTGTCCATCTCTTTCCCATCTTTAATACCCAACTTAATGTTGGGTTCATAAGTGTTTCAGCTAGCTTGCATAGTAGCATACTTGTCTCTCGAAGAAAATCTAAGATGTACTTCTTTTGAGAGATAGTGATCCCTGTCTTGCTGCGGGCTACTTCCATGCCAAGGAAATACGTTAGAACCCCAAGGTCCTTCATTTCAAACTGACATGCTAGATACTCCTTTAAGGAATCTAACTCCTCACAATCATCACCAGTAATAATTATGTCATCCACGTAGACTATAATAATGAACACTTTACCATCCTTAGAGTGTTTGTGGAAGAGTGTATGATTAGTTTGTGCTTGTAGGAAACTCTTCCTCTTGACCACTTGAGTAAACTTGTTGAACCATTCTCTAGGAGACTATTTAAGTCCATAGAGAGACTTCTTTAACTTACACACCAAGCATGCTCCTTTTCCAAAATCGGGTGAAGGATCCATATGGACTTCTTCATGTAGGTCACTATTTAAAAAAGCATTATTCACATCCAGCTATTGCAAGGGCTAATTCAGATTAGCAGCCAAGGATAAAAGAACTCTAATAGTATTGAGTTTAGTAACGAGAGCAAATATTTCTTATAATCTATTCCATACGTCTGAGTGTACCCCTTGCAACCAACCTGGCCTTATGTCGATTGATATTGTCATTTGCATTTAATTTAATGGTGTACACCCACTTGCAGCCAACTAGTTTCTTTCCTCTTGGCAATTACACAATGTCACATGTGTTATTCCTTTCCAAAGCATCCATTTCTTTAATGATAGCCAACTTTCAATTTGGATCATCAAGGGCTTCTTGGATATTTTTTGGAATCTTCATACCATCTAAGACAATGTTGAAGGCAAGAAAATCTGGAGATAATGTATCATATGAGACATATTGAGAAATAAGATGTGAAGTACAAGACCTGGTTCCTTTCTTGAGAGCGATTAGCAACTGTAAATCCCCATAGGCATATGGACTCGGGTTGTTGGAACTAGAAGCTATAGTAGAATCTTGGTAGTATAAAAAGTCTAGATTATTTATATTTTGAAGGGGATGTCTCCGACTATAAACTAGCAATTATTTATGTTGATTATTGTCTCCACCTCTTTCCAACTGCTCATCTCCCCTTGTTTCCAATTGTGGTAAGTTCTTAATGAAAGGTGGATAAGGGAAGAGGTATCACTGGGGGTTCCCATAACTGGTCTTCATCTAGGAGCTCCCCTTGAACTGAAGGCTGAGAAAAGAAAGATTAAGTTTCAAAAAAGTGACATCCATAAAGACAAAATTCCTTTAAAGAGATGGAGAATACTATTTATATCCCTTTTGAGTAGGAGAGTATCCAATGAAGACACACTTGTAAGATATAGGATCAAGTTTGGATCGTTGGTGTGATGGAACATGGACAAACACAATGCACCCAAACAATTTTTGGGGAACTGCAGATATAGAGCTAAAAGATGGGTAGGTCTTTAAAAGACTGGATAGGGGAGAAAGAAGCTGAAGGACACGAAGGCATCCAATTGATACGATAGGAGGCAGTTAGAACTGTTTCCCCCACAATTATTTTGGAACATACATGGTGAAATAAGAGCACGAGCAATTTTAAAAAGATGCCTATTTTTTCTCTTGGCTACCCCATTTTGTTGAGGAGTATCAGGACGTGAACTCTTATGAAGGATGCCATGATGAGACAAGTATTCCCCAAGGACAGAATTAAAGTATTCTTTACCATTGTTTGTTCGAAGAATTTTTATGAGGTGCCAAATTGGTTTTGAACCATGGTATAAAACTTTTTGAAAACTTGTGCAATATCATGCTTTTCTTTGAGGAGGTAAACCCAACACACTCGAGAATGGTCATCAATGAATGTGATAAACCACCTCGAGTCAAAAATGTTTTTTACATGGGATGAATACCATATGTCACTCTGAATAAGAGTGAGAATATTTTGCTAACGGACATATATCACAAGAAAAGACACTATATTTTTCATTGATAAAGAGATCTGGTAACAATTTTTGAAGATAATGAAAATAGGTTTAAGAATTAGCGGTGGTATGGCTGCTTGAGGTGTTATCAGGGGTTGTTGTTACTATTCAATAAAGTTTTGATTGCAGTGTATGATTAAAAGCTAAAACTTATAATATACAACAAATGTTTCATGTAATCTTATATTTGAATAAACGTGACAAAAACATGCACAAAAAAGGTTTTACATCACCCAAAAACATGTTTCTCACCCATCCTGAACAAACAAAGGAGGGATTAGATGAGTACATACTTGGAATCGAAAAGCTTGAGAGAGTACTTTCCCTTCTCCTCTCCTTGTCACCAAATTTTGCTCTCAAATTTTTATTTCTCAATCAAATCCTTAATTATGCCCGGAAAAACACTTTTTAAAAAGTTGCAAAGAAATTTGGACATCATTTTGAGGAATCTTCAGAGAAATCTTGAACAAACACAAAAAAAGGAAGGATATTAATTTGGGCCTTACGGATATACTATGTGAATCAGGCCCATAAGTCAGAGTCTAGTTGTCAAGGTTAAACCAACATGTTGTTAGGCGGGCCTCGGAGCCCACAGTGGATCCACTGTCAATAGATTCAACTTCATCAATCACAAAACATTTCAACCCAAAATCATAACACATTAAGTGTGTTTTCACTTGCAATATTATTAAACCTAGTTTGGTCAAAACACCAGTTTAAACCTGGTTTGGTCGAAACACCAGTTTAATAGGTCGCTAGTTAAACTAGTTACTATGGATAAATCTATTTAATGTATGTAAATTTATATTTTATATTCAAAATTTTATAAAATACTTAAATATACATATATGTTTGTTGCAATTTAGTGATTTGGGTTGCTAGCAGTAGTGTAAAATTACAACATTTCACTATTTTGTTTTTTTTTTTAAAAGTTGCATGACCCACCGATTCAACTAGAATAAAGAAAACCAGCCGGGTCACCAATTTTTGTAAAAAATTATTCAAGTTTAACTAGTTTTTATCAAGTCTATTATATGGCCGATCTGTTGACTCATTAATTACATGATGAATAAGATGATTATACATAAATTTTGAGCTTTCTTTATATAACAATAAGATGACCTTCTTATGAGCTTGTTTGGATCATCTTTTTTTTTTAAGTTAGAAGCTACTTATAAGCTAAAGTTAAAAAAAGAGTTAAAAAAAAGCTAAAAGCTGTTTGGTAATTGCATAAAAAATTTAGCTTAAAAGTACATATTTCAAGAAAATTATCTCTCTCTATCTTTATAGCTATTCATTTAAAAAAAACAAACACACAATTCAAGAAAAACAAATAAGGGTTTAAAAAAACTCCTCCTTGGAGCTTTTAGCTTCTTTTTTTTCATTATAAAAAAAAAAACTTTTCATTATAAGAGTTTTTCTCAAAACCTGTTTGGCCTAACTTATGCTTATAAATAACTTTTAACTTAAAAAGAGAGGATCCAAACATGAACTATACCGCTTTAATATGACTGCCTCAAATGTAGCCTATCCCATTTGTGAGATAAATAATAGCCCTAGCTAAGAGCTTTCAGCTACTACTGTTATAGTTAGGGGTGGCAATATGGGTTGACCCGCCATTAAATATGGGTTGGAAAAATGAACCCACCCCATTTTATGGTGGGTTGGCGGGTCAACCCACCAACCCACCAATTAAAAAAAAATTAATTAAAATTAAAAAATAAATTATATTTTATAAATTTTTCTAATATTATTTTATTTTATTTCACACTTCTCTTAATTTTTTTCAATCTCAATTTAAATGTATACTAATATTTGTCAAACATTTTTTAGGAACTTATTTGTCTCCATATATAGATAACACTTGTCATAAATAAAATTGTTATTCCTTATTTTTTCTAGGAAGTACTACGATAAAAAAATGGATATCACAAAAATTTAATAACAAATGAAATACTACCTAATTGTAATAAAAAAATTATAACCTGGCGAGTCAACCCGCTCCGCGGCGGGTTAAAACCCTTTTTGACCCACTTCTAGGTGGGGCGGGTTGAAGTGGATTGAAAACTTCAATCCAACCCGTCCTGTTTTAGTAGGTTGACCCGCCGGGCTCAACCCATATTGGCACCTCTAGTTATAGTGTGAGTTGACCTGTCAGGCTCAACCCATATTGCCACCTCTAGTTATAATGTGGGTCCGAGGGGTGACATTTGATGAACGTATTTCCTTATTGGTATGGTTTCTTGAGCGGTAGGTACGGTGGTCCTTTGATCTTTAGTATAGGTTCAAATCACTTCTGTTCTTGTAATAGGTTTCTCTTTTGCCATTTTATGTAGCTAATAATCTAGAGTTAAAAGAACTCTTATGTTATTTGGTGAATTTGTAATAGGTTTCTCTTTTGCCATTTTATGTAGCTAATAATCTATAAAGTTAAAAGAACTCTTATGTTATTTGGTGAAATTTTAGATTAACCTCACTAGTAAAGAGCGGGCCCAAGAATAAAGAAAATAAGAATGGTTAGTGTTGCTAATATTTAAGTAAAATAAAAAAGAGATTAGTTAGTTATAATCAAATAAAGTCACACTCAAACAAACGAAAGAGAAGCAAGAAGCCAGACACGATACAAAACCCTCGTGTCTGGGAAGTGGGAAGTGCAACCAACAGCGTACCACCTGGGCTGTGTTATTCTCCCCTTTGTCTCCGTAACCATCATTTTTTAAAACCCAAATCAGCGAATCAACCTTCCTTTTTCTAATTTTATGTTCACAACAACAACAGTCTCTGTGTCACCAATGATTCACAATTCTGGTCACACAGTTTAAGGTACTTTTAATTTGCATATCCATTTGGGTGGTTTTATTCCTCTGTTCCGTCCTATTTATTGAGATGCCCTGCTCTTGCGTTGTGATAATGTGAATAAATAGTTTTGTTTTTGAAGTTCAAACTTATTATGTTGATTAACTCGTATACCTTTGATTATATTTTTTTTTTTGTTTTGATTTTGCTTTGTTTTCGGTCCTAGGAAATTGCTTTCTAGCTTTTAGATCTGATTTTCTGTCGAATACAGGCTTCCTAGAGAAATTGGAGAATGTTTCTTACCTTCGTTGAATTTTGTTAAATCTGCTTTTATATATGCAGTTGCATTTCTCAAAGCAAAGTGTGGATTCTGGTAACTACAAGTACAAAGGGCTTCATTTGTGTGCTAGTTATGCTTGTTATATTAATTTTTTATGATGTTTCGTTGGTTATTTGGCACTGCAAGAAATTGTGGTTTCATTCATGGTTGTCAAAAAGGATACATTTACCAGCAGAAGTTTAGTCTGGTGAACATAAAGTTGAAATGGGCGAAAGATAGAACATTGGATGCTGTTGTTGCTGGTCAGAGGGATCTTAAGGCAGCTGGGTTCCTTGTTTCGATTATTTACTCTTCTTCTGAATGCTGCCTTCCCATATACCATCTTTCTCACCATCGTGGACAACTTGGTCTTCCCCATGACCTTAAGCTCTCAGCCTTTATCAGAAGATATCCTAATATTTTTGTTGAGTCCTATTTTTTTGATAGTGGAGGCTCTCCTGTTCCGTGTTACAGCTTGAGTCCTGAAGCCTTGAAGCTCCACCATGAGCAAGTCAACATCCTTCAGCAAAATCAGTTGGAACTCAGGGACAGGTTATGCAAATTGCTTATGCTCACAAGAGATAGGATCCTTCCTCTGCAAACCATTGACCAATTAAAATGGGACTTGGGTTTACCATATGATTACCAGCATTCTTTTGTTCTGGATTACCCTGAAATGTTCTCTTTTGTTCGCCTCCCTGATGATCGTGTTGGCTTGAAATTGTTATTTTGGGATGACAAGCTTGCCATATCAGAGTTACAGAAGAATAGTTCTCTACAACAAAAGGAAGAAGATATAAACAATGAAACCTTAGCATTTCCAATTAGTTTCACCCGAGGTTTTGGTTTGAAAAGAAAATGCATGGAGTGGTTGAAAGAGTGGCAGAAACTCCCCTATACTTCGCCTTACATCAATGCCTCTCATTTGGATTCCCGTACTGATGTATCTGAGAAGAGGATAGTTGGAGTCTTTCATGAGCTTCTTCACCTTACACTTCACAAGCAAACTGAGCGTAAGAATGTCAGCAACTTGCGTAGCCCCTTCGCCCTACCTCAGAAGTTCACTAAAGTATTTGAGCGCCATCCTGGTATTTTTTACATTTCCAAGAAGAGTGACACTCAAACAGTTGTTCTTAGGGAGGCCTACAATGGCCAGGAACTCCTGCAGAATCATCCCCTTGTAAAAATTAGAGAGGAATTTGCAAGCCTACTGAAGAAAGGACTACTTGATAGGAGTAGGGGTGTACACCAAAAAAGCACAGATGCTAATTTGGTGGGGGGTGAGAAAGGAAGTTTGCATCACTCAAAAATCTAACCAGCTTAATTCTAAGGATAAATCAGATCCCATATTTTCTGAATATGATTCAGATGGCCCTCTACATAACCCTTGCTGATATATGTTAATGTGGTTTTGCTCTTTGCCATTATGTTAATGTGATTTGGCTTGGTGAGATTCTTGAAATCTGCCCTTGATGGGATGCTTGTATTTTACCGTTCACCAACCTTGTCACCTGTGAAGAACTGTTAATAACCAAACATATCAGCAGTGCCAGCTCAATATCGTCAGAAGATTAGTGACATGGGAAAGATAGACACGGGTACAGCCACAATTGAATTTCACTTCAAGAAAATTTTGTTCCAAAATCTCTTAAAATCTTTATGAGAATGAAAAATCTGTTTTAAAAATTATGAGCATCCTTTTGCAAACTGAGATACTTTTTCAGGGATTTGAGAGAGGTAATTTTGACTTCTTCTTTTTTTTCTCTTTAAACTCAGGTGTTTTTTCTCTTTATGTACAAGGTGAGGTTTTACTTTTATATCAATATATACAACAGAGCTCCAAAATTCAAAGATACCTGGCTGCTGTGAACCTCGGCTTTGTGCCACTTTATATTTTTGCCATCACTTGTGCCCGAAAGACAATTTTCTGTTATGAAAAAGAAACAAGAAGGTCCTACCAAATCAAAGAAAGGCAAGGTATCCTCAAACCAATAATCATTAACATAAGATGTGAATAGTATGGCAACTATTGTTTTATATCTTTCTTTGGAACAAAATGACAGATGAGCTGATGCGTGTCTCTGATGTTTTGAAAACCAGTCTTGTTCTTGAACTGGTAATGAGAGAGGTTTAAAGTATTAAGATCCTAATAAAACTAAACTGGAATTATGCATGTACCTTTATATCTTATAAATGTAAAAATCATAACAAGCATAATGATGATAAATAATATTTTCTTTAAATCGCCAGAGCTTACCATTGTCCATTTATGTTGAAAGATTGTTGAACCTTACTATTTTATAAAAAATTAAAGAGAAAATATATAATGGAGATTATTTCTCTCATGTAATAAGAGATAAGTTCTTTCATGTAATAGAAGACGAGCTTTCTCATGTTAAGAGACAAACAAAGTGAGTTTCATCAATTTTTATTTTTATTTAAAAAAAAAATGGCATATTTTTCGATGTAAGAGTGACATGAGAGAACAATTTCACGTGACATGAGAATATGATTTCAGTATATAATTTAGTCGCTCAAATCATCCTTACTACAAGATAGGGCTCTACCATTCATAGACCAGCAGGTGACGCGTGCTCTACACTCCAGCATTTGTCTCCCAGGTGACAACAAAATATGCAACGAGCTATTCTGATTTGTTATTTTTTTTGGTATTTGTTTTTTGTATGTTCTGATTTTACACCTTCGTTGCTTTGATTTTGCATTTGTGATTGCATGCATCTTGCTTTGATTTTGCAATTATGTTGGCCTTAAGGGTGTTAGCAATATTTTTTTGTAAAAACAAAAAAATTTTACACCCTGATGACTTAATCTGGTTCAGGTTTGGCAAAAACAAATTTACAAAAACCAAATTAAACTAAATCAATTGATTTTCATGGTTTAATTTTTTCTCTTCTTGGATCCGTCCTCTGTCCTACCAATTAAAAGATGGACGTGATTCAATTGTTTTCAGTTAGAATTTAACGCCATCCCTCTGTTATTGAAGTTTTCAAATTATTTTTTTTTGTTTTTTCTCTTCAGATGAGAGTTACAAAGTACTCATTCACTGCGTGAATCATAGAGGATTTGTACAAATAGAGCGCTTCACAACTGATTTATCATTTTCATACTACAATTTTGTAAATGATGGATCAAAATACTAATTCCCAATTTTATCAGTTTGACCAGCCACAGCCAGTCTAATTTCTCATCTCGTTGCATTTTTATAGAATTAAGGTCACCATTGGACTTTTAGAATATCAATTTGGCCCTCCAAATATTATTGCATCAACTTAATCTTTAAAAGATTGACAATAAAATAATTCACAAGATACTGTTCACTGAAATCAGATTACAGTTATTCAATGACAAAATTATCAATTAAAAATCAATTTAATTCACAAATCTTTTAAAGACCAAATTTTCAGAAAATAAGTCAGGAAGATAAAATTGGAAATTTACTCCTTTCTGTTACATCCAAAAGTAAACTTTTAAATAATATTAAGACGTAATCATTAAAGTTACATCTTTATATACGACGTTAGATTCGACCAGATGATTTTTGCCTCGTCTGATTCAATTGTTAATATAACATGCAACTGCAATGCATAACTGACATCTTGACACCAAATATTAAGAGAATGCTAAAGAGAAAAAGTATAAAATGAAAACCCATATGACATACATATTATACACCATTTGTGATCCATATATTGCAAAATGCAAACCATTCCCTAATGTCTGCATAGCTGGGGAAATAAGTTAATACATAAAACGATGTTAACGAGAATAAAGAACAAAGAAGCTGCAAATGAGGATAAACTCAGTGCAATCTTGTCAACTCTTCTACTCTCTTGCATAACTCCTCTACTGAAACATCCATTGCCTTGGAAATCTCATCCATCTTACTGCGGTTCAGATCAAGAAATGATTCAATTAAATCCCCATCCAAAAAATTTCTCGCTTCCACAGTTTTCTTCTCATTGTTAAATGACCTCCACTGCTCATGGCTGAGCCCTCCAACGCCCTTAATCACCTTCCTCAAGTTTGACTGAAGCTTCTCTAAGAAAAGATACTGCTCATTAGGAAGAGAGGCAATTACACCAATCACGCCATTAATGGTGCCAAAAATGAAAGTTGGAATCTGGCCCACGTCAGAATCTGGCAAGCGCATAACAAGGGAGCCGTGCCGGAACCGATTGACAAATTCTCCAAGGTGATACTCACCAACTACTTCAAGACGACCCCGTTCTTCATCAGTGGCACCTTCACTATTTTTCCGAACAGTAAAGAGATTGAAACTATTTTCTGAACCAAGGTATATGTCATCATCAAGGATTTCAACAGCTGACATCCAATTGGCGTTGTAGTCACGAGCTCTCTCCTCAATAGCGCCTTCTTCATGCTAATATTAAAGAACAACAATGTATCATTCCAAAAGAAAATCGAGTACTCAATATACAGAAAATCAACTATTCATCTGTAACAATAAGGAACACGACAGTTCAAAATTTAAGAAAACCAATCAGAAACTTCTGTCGTGCCTTTAAGAAAGAGAGAGAAGAAAAGGGAAACTGCAACCTTTACAATAAACTTCAGCATTAAGACAACTCAGGCTTACCTTATACATTAACAAGGAAATTGACTTCATCAGATCACCAACTACGATGAAATCTCCTCTAGTTTGCACATATAGTGCTAGGATGTGTCCATGATGTCCACATTCAGACTGTAATTCATGGGTACCATCATCCCGGAGCACCCACTTGTACAGCTGAATTTTTTGATTAATAGCAGCAAGCAATTTACCATTAAACGCATTCAAGCAGTAAACTGCTCCTTTTGTCTCCTTCTCAGCAATTAGCTGTAGCTTTCCGTCTTCAACAGCAAAAACAAGAATTCTTCCCTACGTTTGTTTTAAAATAGGCAAAATAGCAGGATATCAGAAGCTTTGAGCAGAACAATGCTGAAAAGAACACATATTTGTCAACTTTACCTTGCTTGGTTCATTTTCCTCTGGCAATACATAAGCAGTTCCAACACAGTAATACACGTTATTATCATCTGAGAAGGAGCAGCTAATTATAAAGCAGCCATACTCAAATGTATCAAGTGGATAAGTTGATATGAACTCAAAAGTCTGGTCATCCAGCAAGCGGACAAAGTGCATTTCAGATTCTTCAGCACTTGTTGGGTTGTATTTCAAACTACAAATAGCAAAGGTCCTGGTTTGCTCCTGATGGCAGATACGCCGTGCATGCTCCCCTAGTGGAATAGAGCGAATATGAAGTTTTTGAATGTCATCGATGGTGCCAATAGTGAGTTCACCTTCTTTTGCAATCGCCAAACTGTTGAAGTCATGAATAGTGGCTGAGTACCATCACCGTTAATGGATTTTGCATCAAAATGTATAAGACCCGGAAACAACATAAGGAGATAAAATTCTTGGATGTCAATCTAACAAAGACCAACATACCTGTCTGGAAAAGCAGCAGAGTTGAAAGGGCACATGTGACTCACTTCCTTCAGATTCACATTACTATAGAGTAATTTTTTGTTACTACTATAAATCACCGTTGGCCGATCAGATGCAGCAAAAACATGGGTTGTATTCTTGGATGAGAATGTCCGTAGAGTTATAGGTTGTGTCCCAAGAGAGACCTTTTTCCTATCAGTTAACTCACCAGTGCTTCTGTTCAACATAAAGTTTAAGAGATGGCCATCACCGAGGGCACATAGCAAGTAGGATATCTGGAGAATAAAATGAAAAAAGCAATATACTTTAGTAGAATTTTTGGAACTAGGAAACTACCATTAAACTTATGAAAAATGAGATGGAAGCTCAGCAATGTGTCAATTTAATCCTCGAACAACATTACAAAAATATTTAAAAGTGCAGGATTGTATAAAGATATTAATGTTGCTGATCTAGTATGTGCCCCACAACTGCTCCCGTGTAAAAATCCAATATCCCTACTCTAAAAATTGAACTTACAATGAAAGATATGAGCATTCCAAATCTTCATAAGGCATTTCAGAAACAAAATAACTAAGCAGAAAGAAAAAAAAAAAAAAAAAAAAAAAAAACCCATCAAATGAGATAGCTCAAGGAAAGCCTACCCCTTCAAAGGCACAAAGAAGAACGGATCGAGGTATTATCTCTCCTCCTAAATGCTCCTTTGTAATGAGATTCAGATCAGGAAGAGAAAAAATTCTAACACTTATGTCAGTCCACATTCCAACTGCAGCTAGATGACTCTGATTGGGGTTTTCACCAATGGGATTTATATCTAGGCATGAGATCTCATACTCCAGTTGGGTGTGCTTTACTTCCTGCAGTATGCCATCTCCAATTTCAAGGTAAACTAAATGCCCACCTCCTGTGGCTAACAAAACCTGTATCCAGTTATAACCATAATTACCAACTTGACTACAAACTTAATGTGTTGTAATAGCAAAATCCAACAACGGAAATGGTCATAAAGTAAAACTAAAGAAAAAGATTGAAGAAAATTCACTTAAATGGTAACATCTATAGAGCTTGATTGGATACCATACCAAAATAAATTGAGGAGATTCAGAAATAATATCAGAGGCCAAGTTATTCTGGGGTCCCAAAATTAATTCAGCCAGCAGGAAAAAAAAATGTTACTCTAGCCAAAATGACTTTTAGTATTTCAGTGCCAATTACTCAAAATTATTCAATGCCAATAACAAATATAAAAGTAATTCTTCCAAAATTCACTGCATTCAAAGAATTTCACACAAAATATATTACTTCGTAGTCACTACTCACTAGTCAGTAGCTTGAAGTGTCTCAGAATCTGGAATTCTCCTCTTTAAAGAGGAGTCTTTCCGTGGTGGAAAATCCCTTCAACTTTAAAGGGATTAAATCATGTAAAATCTGCATTGTCACTTGCGCATTAACTTTTTTAAGTTTCACTTTCCACTGTTATTGGATTACTTTTTTGTATTAGTCAAAAACATAAAGCAAAACAAATATTATAATATGTGAATTAAAATCTCAGAGCAAAAAACAAAAACAAATTTATCAGTACAAAAGATGAACATTCATATTGAATATCTATTACTGGAACTTCACTAAAAACCAAAAAGAATCCTCGGTGAATCCAAGAAAATGATTCTCTTAAGTATATAAAACATTGGAAGTAGGCATTTAAAACCAGAGGCCTCACAGAAAACTAACGCTCACTGAAAGCCTCTTGGCCTTCATGCTTGCAGAAGCCATAAAGTCATTGCTCAAAAAAATTCAAACAACCACTGACAAATATTCCATGACTATTAATTCAATATACCTTTGGCTGTCTTTCTCCTTTTATCTTAGAGTTAACCCAAGGTAGAACCTAGTATGCTTTACATTCTACTTTAATGATTATATAGTTTTCTAAACACAGTGCCTTTCTTCCAAATAGCACTAGCAGCTAGCTACTAGTAGAACAGATGCCCAAATCATATTAAAATTAATGATTAGAAGCTGTTCATGGATGACCAACTCTCAACATCCTGACAGAAAAGGTACATCAAAATAATCCCATGGGAAAGAGTGGGAGGAGGAATGTGACAGATTCAGTAATTCTGCTCTGCTTACAAATGCAAATTGATGAGGGAACCCATTGCAATTAGAAAACCACCATGCAAATATCAAACACAATTTTAAAAGATAACATTTATAGAGCATCATAATCAAACCTGAGTAGCATTTGCAGTAGCTACGTTTACTGAATAGCCTGATGGGGCATGCCATTCATTCCGGAGCTCTCTAGTTGTGGAACTGACCAGTCTTACAGAGCTGGAAGTGACCTGTTATGTTGGTTTATTAGCTAATGAAAGATTGCTGCCACTACACAAAATAAAATTAAAAAAAAATAAAATAGACATAGAAGAGTACAGCAGAATAATGTATGGCATCAACTTGTGAAGATTACTCATAGATAAATTGCAAAGATCCATGCAAGACTTAAGCATTCATAAGAAGCTTCGTGAATACACAAGAAGCATAATTTCAAACCTTTGTTTCTTTTAATTTCAATGGATTTTGATTCTTTTTGTTTGATTCAGATTATGACTTATCCATAATCTTTGTATTCTCCTAAGACTCTAAACAAAATTTCTTATATTATTCACAAAATAGAGGAATTTTATCAAAAACAAAGAAAATGAGCAGCAGCAGCAACAACTGAGCCTTATCCCACTTAGTGGAGTCAGCTACATGTGCACAAGAAAATAATATCTCCTTTGGATAGAAGATGATTTCATTTACATGAAACGTGACAACAAAATGGAGAATAAGATTTAACAAATTTGAAAAAAGAACAAAAAACACACAAAGAAACCGATGCATATATTTTGAAGAAACCCCTGTTAAAACCCCATGAACAAACGCCATGGCAGTACTAAGAAATCAGTCCTGTTTAGTAGATACAGGATACGAATTTTATTTTATTTTTTTAATTTTTGACAGGAAGTATAAGTTTATTAAAATTGAAAATAACAAAATATGACACAACACACTATACTGATATTTTGACTGTAGGTAATTTTTATGTAGATGTTCACAAGATTAAGCATACCATTAATCTTTAAAGAGAACAAATTAAAGGGGGTATACTTATTGCGATCAATATTTGATTAGCTGAGAATTGAAAATTTAAGAAAAGCGACCCGGTAGAATAATATAATAAATAGACAACATAATAGTAAAATTTTATTGTAAATCCATAAGGCAAAATAACTTTACAACTATGAATAGCTTTGACACATTTACATTTGGCCCATTGCGCATGGTTCAACCAATTAACGAATTGATTCAAGACATTTGGAGTCAAACAAAATTATGGCCCATTAAGCATGACTTGCATGTTCAAAGAAGCAGCAATTTTAAAGCTAACAGATTTCAACCAAATCCAAGTCCAAATGAAGCAACATTGTAAAATTTAATATTTGGGATGTGTTTTAAATGATTTCATTGTATTTATTTATTTATTTTTAGAAGGTATTTATTTTTATATTTATTTTGAGGATTTTGAATTTTGAATTGATTTGTAATTAGTCTATAAAATGGTGTTTAAGACCCTTATTGTAGTAATTTAATATTTTGTTATTTTGACAAACCTTAATTGAGAAATTAGTGTTTCTTTTTTATTTATCCAACTTTTTGTTTAGCCACATTTTCTATGCACTTTCGACGTCATTTGGTATCAGTGTACTAGGTTGCCTTCAACCAATGGCTGAACATAATTATGGATGGTGGAGTCGTGTTGGGAGGGACGTGGATTTGTTCTTAAAAAAGACAGACAATCACGTCAGATAGATACATGAGACATAGAAAATGAAGAGCTCGAAAGGCGGATCCAGGATTTGAAGCGACAACTTGTACAGGCACAGGGCAAGAAAATCCAAGTTTTTAAGTGACAGCTTGTGCGGGCGCAGAGCAAGAAAATTCAAAATTTGGAGAGACAACTTGTGCAGATACATAACAAGAAAATCCAAGTTTTTGAACGACAACTTATAGAGGCGTGGAGCATCAAAATCCAAGATTTGGAGCGGCGACTTACGCATACAAAGCTGGACATTCAATCCGAAGAAGGAATTGAATTAGAAGACACGTCTGATAATGGAGAGGACATCAATTATTTGAGGATTTTAAACCAAGAACATAATTGGGTAGTACAATATGGAAATCAATCCACTATTTAAGATATCGAGATGCAAATCAATATTACTGACTTTAAAGTTTATGATCATAATCCAGTTTATAATGATTATCTGATCTATGATGATAATTCAATTTATGATAATTATCCAATTTACAATAACAATTTAGTTCATGATGATTATTCAATCTACGATGATAATCCAATCTATAATGATCATTCAGTTTATGATGAATCTGATGGAGAATCAGATGATGAAGATCTAATAGAGAAAGAATTGTCATTTGAGTTGCCACTTAAAGATATTGATATGAATGAAGATGAAGCAGGATTTAGGGCGAATCTTTTCCTAGCAGGGGAGAATGATGCACTTATAGTCGGCCCATTGTGCATGGCCCAACAAATAAACGGATTGATTTAAAAAGTTTGGAGTCAAACAAAATTATGGCCCATTAAGGATGACTTGAATGTTCAAAGAAGCAGTAATTTAAAAGCTAACACATTTCAACCAAATTCAAGTCCAAATGAAGCAGCCTATTTGATTGTAATCTGATCGGCAAAAAAAGGAAAGTAGCAAATTTGATGTGATTTTAAATCTAAGATTTGAAATGTTTTTGATGATTTAATTGTAATTATTTATTTATTTATTTTTAGAAGATAGTTATCGTTATATTTATTTTTAGGATTTTGAATTTTGTATTGATTTGTAATTAGTATATAAAAGGGTGTTTAAAACCCTTATTGTAGTAGTTGAATATTTTGTTATTTTAATAATTATAATTGAGAACAAAGGTTTCTATTTTATCAAATCTCAACTTTTCATTTAGCCACGCTTTCTCATCAAGCTTTCTCAACATCCATCTTTCTTAATTTTGGTCAGAGTTGTAGGCATTAAATCAATAAAGGAAGAAAAGAAGAAAACCACCACTGTAGGAAAATAAGGTCAGAACTTACTTGTACAAGTTGATTGTGAATTGCGTCATGACAAAATAAAGTTTGTACTTGAGAACAAAATCCCTCAATCTCAGTTTCTTCCAGCTCATCCTCAAGATTCATTGCTAAGATTCGTGTTTCACTTATAAAACTCACAACCAAGAATGTGTCAAAAGGATCATCTGTTGAAGATCTTAGTGACCACATTCCTTTGATACCTTGAAGTTCTACCGATGCCTACATCAAATAAATTCATCAAAAAATTAATACTTTGCAAAGCTCATGTTGTTTGATATGAAGATTTTTTTTTCTTTTCCTTTTGATTGTGTCACTGGGTGCAGAGGTACCACACTGGGGAAAGAGGAAGGGAGCTGACCTGTTCATTGATCCCTATTCCATTACGGACAACACGAAGAGAACCATCCTTGTAAGCACCAGAGCAAGTTACAACCTGACCTTGGCCTTGCCTTTCAAGGTCTACCACACAGAAGTCTACAATTGGCCCCAAATTGACATACCTTTCCAAAACTTCCACATAAGAACCTTTTGCATCAGGTTGTAGATTTAGTTTTATAAGCTGTATGTCACCCATCAGAAATTGTTAATATGTCATATGCCTAAATATGGCAATAAAAGTAATCAGCTATGAACATGCCATAATACACTTCAAAGTCTTTAAAGCAGCATGACCAGAGCAAACAGTGAAGAAAGCAATCCAAATATTTCAAAAGCTACCTTATAAAGATTTGTTCTTGCCCTTCCTCTCTATCTCTCTAATATTACAGTGTAAAAATGTTAGAAGAAAAGAAAATATTATTAGAAAAAACTTGATTATTTAGGTGAAGCAGCTAAGAACAAGGAAGCAGTTCCCTCCTATATTGTCTTATGTTTTTAGTTTATTATTTTCATTTGCTTAGTTATGAACTTGGAATGATGAATATTTATTATGGGTTCGCTTTTTCTACAGTCAATGTAGATAACTTATCTACATTGAGCTCAAAACGACGTCGTTTTGAGGCGGAAATCAAGGTATTTTTGTAATTATAATTTATTTCAGGGTTATAATAGTCTTTTTCATTATAATTTTTAAATTTTTCAACTCAAAACGACGTCGTTTTGGGAGCAAATGTAGATAACTTATCTACATTCACTTTAGAAACATTAAAGCCATTTATTATACATATTGATACGGTTAAGGCTAAGAAAATGTTTGGTAAGAAGTATGAAAGGAGAAGAGGAGAAGACACGGGTTCAAAACCTCATGCTAATGCTGATGTCAGTATTGCTGAGCATTGATTAGTTAAGGAAATGGGTTAGGTGGTTATTCGGTTGGTGTCACACTCACTGCAAGGGACAGGGATTGTTAACAAATAAGAAAAAAAAAAAAAAACAGCTGGGAAGGACATTCTGGAATCACTTGGGATTTTCGAGAATTGTGACTTGGGAGGGAACCAGAGCCTCTCGTTTTTCTCTGGATTGGTGTCTGTCTTATGTCTGTAATTTTCCGTTGTTGTAATTCTCTCTGTTTCCCATTACAAACAGTGTGTACTGAGATTGTGTATCCTATTTTGATCCACATTTACCAATAAAATTCCAGAATTTCTTTCATCTTTAGGTTCAATCTTATCACATATGCTGTTACATTATGTTTGGGTAGAACATACTTTTTAAGTAATATTTCAAAAGTCTTTTTGAGTTTCCCTGAACTCGAGTTTAACAACCTTGTCATTTACTATAGAAACAAAACCATGCTCTGTACACTACATTTAGACCAGTACTTTCAAGAGTCCAAATTCTCAACATAATTAGTAAGCAATCAATCCAGCATAAGTAACAGACTCCATTTCATATAGAAATAATGATAAGTCTCATACTAGGTTCAAAACTAGTACTTGGGGTACTCAGAATTTTGGATAAAATTCAGTTACTAAAAAAACAAAAGCAGTTACTAAAAAAAGACTTTTGGATAAAATTAACTTTCATGTATATAATTCACACCATTGACATTTATAAAGTAGTTTTCAAGTTTATTACCCCACCTGAGAATCTCCATAACTTGAGCCAATGTAGACAAATGCATTATCAAGATATGATATTGTAGATGCAATGGAAGTCTCCCCAAGGGGCTCAATTTTGAGTCCTGTAACCCTACAAAATAAATGTACATGATAAACCATAAGATGCAGCAGTTAAAATATTGATTGATTGTTTTTTTAAGATAAAATAAGACTTTCTTTTCTTTTTTTCTTTTCTTTTAGTACACTTAAGACTTTCTTTAATAAACATATCTATGCATAAGACAGAGTAATAAATCTATTAAGCCAACATGGAAACAAGTGAATGAGTGATCGCGTACTTTTCTTTCTCATGGCTTATTACAAGTAGACTAAGCAACCCTGTATAGTCACCAAGTAAATATCTAGAACCATCAGGATCAACTCTTCCATAGGCTTTTGTAATTGACTGAAAAGCATATCATAAGGTATAATTAAGAGAAGTCCAAAAACCTGTGTCATATACATACAATTTGTGAAAATATAAATTCACTGCGGATGATTTAAATGGATGTAGCAGATACTATTATTTAGCATACTGGTCTGATTGGGATAGCTTTAAAAGCACTAGCACTGCAGTATACTATGGTTTCTTCTCCAATAATAAGCACACCACAAAGAGGTGGGGGAACTGGTATCAATAAATCAGCCCCATTATCAAGATTGTTCTGGGACCATGGACCCTCAACAAAATCTTTATCCTTCAGAGCAACCTCATATGTTTTAACATGACGAGCATCTTTGTTATCCTGTCAATGATGAAAAAACAATATTCAAGATTGTATGCTAAAAGCAGCTATGTTTTTAACCAAATAACATAAACGACATATATATATATATATGTGTGTGTGTGTGTCTCTCTCTCTCTCTCTCTCTCTGTGTTGTTGGGTGGGGGTGGGGGGGGAAGGGGGGGAGTGCATTGGGGGGCAGATATTTTCATAGATGGCAGAATCATAGAAACATTGAATAGAGATGTTATGGAAGAATATGAATATGCACAGAAATAAACTGAAACTACAACAATATATGTTAAATTAGAAATTTGAGGGAGTTCTTTGAAAAACCAGAGAAAGCATACGGTCTTATACTAATCACATGCTTACTGTAGAAAAATAATCTTTAGACCAAATGTAGCCAGGTCTCCATCGGTACAAAGATATGAACACTTAAACATAGTTCCCTCAAATAAAAATTTTTGGGTACACACACCGAAGGACCGTTTTAACGGCATGCTGCAGAAGGGGAGAGGAAATGTTCAGAACTGTTGTTCAGAGAACATACTTAACCAGATATCCAAATAGAAACTACTAAGAAAGAATTTCTCCCTGTTTGGAAAGGAAATGGAAGGATTTACAAGAAATCTCCCACAGGAGTGAAGGGCCCATACTCTTTTATCCACATTTGAAGATAAATGCAGAAAATCAAGCAAGAGCAAGAGCTGTTGTAAATTCCCTCGGTCCACCCTTCCAAACCAAAATAAAAGAGTGAAGGAAAGAAAATCAGCAAAACAAGATAGCAGCTCACAGAGTCTATTTGAAGAACTAATCAACTAAAAGCTCCAAAACAATAGGTAGAATAGAATTAGAAACCTGGTAAAGAACCACAATAGTTGGCTTAGAACAACCATAAAGAAATTTGATATCCAAAACTTGGAGCTCCTCAAGCCTGAAAACAAATGTATCATGATTTTAATAATTTATATCAGAAACAGAAACATAAAAAGAGAAACAAAATAGGGAACAAAATTACATGAAAGAAATTCAATGTTAAAGTATTTTTAATTTAAAATATATATATAAAAAAAACAGCTCAACTGTTTAAAAGTGTTGGTTAATTGTTCCTAAATTGGAAAAAGTTTACCAATAATTCCTTTTCCGTAATTTTCTCAACGAAGTTATTTGGCATCATCACACATATTCATGAAATAACTAAAGTACATATCTATTATGAGAGATAAATCGGAAGCATGCCTGGGCTTGGACTTAAAAGCTTATGTTTTTAGGACAGTTAGCTCTTTAAGATATATTACAACCATTACAAATTATATGTTGAAATTATACGGATTTAGGTAAAGGAGGAAGAAAAGAGAGAATAAAGACTAAATAATATGAAATTGGTATCCATTTGATGTGTTATCGTGTGATACAAGCTACAAAGAACTAACCCCTACTAGATTAGACTCCAAATCCTAATTAAATAAGGAAATAAATCATACAGATATAAGGAAATTATTCCTAAGAGATCATATAAGATACTCTAAACTATTCTAAAATATAATCAATTAGACATTTTTATATATTCTAACATTATATTTGTCAAATTTATCACCAAACTATAAGCAGTGATCTTCTTATCAACTACATCACTGTCAATTCTAGCATTTGAAGAATTTAAGAAATAATTTACACCCACATTTTTATTAATGTTCTCTTAAATAAGTAAATAATAAAGCTAGGTTTGTTTTCCCAGCACACCCATCATCCAAAATAACAGCAGGGACATAACGTAAAAGACATAAAGAATCACATCTGCTTACATCCATGACTTCATTCCACTATGAAACGCTACAGTTTTGTTAAACATCTTTCAAAAAAAAAACAGCTCAATAATATTTACATCCATGACTCCACATTACTATATTGAGCTTTAATGATTGGTATGCAATGACCAACTGAAAACTGATAACATTGAAAAAGAATCTTCCACGTTGTTCTGCTACCAATACTCAGCTTTTATCTACAAGGAACCTAGATGCTGATCCACCCATTGTAGTCAAGTCTTTTCAGAAAGACAAAAACTGAAACTATCAAAGCATATTTCTGCAGCCATTGCCACATGTCTCTGTTGTAGAGCTAAACAATCCAAAATATATCCACTTAGTTTGAAATTGTACTTCATTTGGAATGGAATTTATTCACTCGTTTCCTATTGAGTATTGACCTACATAGCCAGGTGAGCAACAGGCCAACTGACCAACTTTTGACCAAGTTATGTTACATGCAGTGCATTTTCTTTTCTCTTCTACCATATATACATATCGAGCATAATCATCAATAAAAGTCTTTCTCACAAAGATAAATGATTTCTTTAAGGAAGAGAACCAGAGATATTTGAAGCCCAAGGAAAATGAGGTATCTTAACCATCTAACTGGTAGAAAGTTTGGCTGTTAAACCATCCATTAACTAAACATAGATTAAACCAACAAATCAAAGTATATTCAAATTTCCTTCTGTTGTTTCAAATAAAGCTGTAACTAAATTCATTATTGACCCAAATCCGTGATGCTCCAGAAGCAGTGTCAACTTTTCAATCTCAACTTATATAAAGACATGACAATATCCAACATGACATAGATTCAAAGTTCATATTTACAAAGCTAGAACTGTGTTAACTGGTAATCATTAATCAAGGTCATAGACTCATAGTTAACTGGTAATCATTAATCAATGGTCAAATTGTACATAGAATCCATGTGTGGACAACCAAAAGAATAATAGGATTACCTAATATTAAATGCTTCCTTGAGCTGTCCTTTATTGTCAAAGGGAATAACCTGGAAGATCAATGAACAGTAAATCATTCAAATTGTTTAACATGATACAGAAAGCCAAAATTTATGGTTATTCTAATCTAATATTTTTGCAGGGTAGTAAATGAGAAAAAGTTACATACTTTAAACAAACCATCATACAAGTGGAGTCCAATCAACCTACAATCAGGATCAATAATGCCAATCTGCAGAAAGAGAAAAGGATAACTGCTGAAATGCACTGCACAATATTTACCTGATCCTAGATTAGATAAAGCATTGATGTTGTTAAAAATATCAGAACTGTATTACACTAACAAGTTTTATTAGTAGATAGAAGTGAAAAAATGTAAATACCTGACCGTTATCTGTGGGACGTCCAATACGATCGGAAACATCCCCCATCGCCCTAGATGACAATGACACAGTTAATTCAACAAGTAAATGAGATAAACATTATATCTCTACTAGGAATTTTAATTTATAATATAAAGAGATTGGAAAGCCTTACTGTTTCTTTGAGCTATTTTAGCTTACTATTTCATTTATTTTCATTTTTAGGGGGATCTATCTTATCATATATTCTTAGGGTTAAAGGTACACCAAACTCAAAAAATTTGAGTTGGGGATCCCATTATTGTTTTGAGTTACAATTCCCTACTTAACTCTAACTCCGAAAGTCCTGTTTGGGTCCCAAATGACCCAGTCAGGAACTATACAATTAGCAACGCAACGTCAGCAAAACATTCCAATCTTCATTCTTTATTGAAATTCCTAGCTTGTACACTTAAGCCACTGTACTCAAAACCAGGAAACTATCAATCATTAATCCCACTCTAAAGAAAGTAAAAGGGGCAGTCTAGTGAATGAGGCTTAGCCTGGGGAGGTCATATGAATGCAACTTACCAAACTACTAAAAATTTGCAATCCATAAATAATCCTGGTTATGCCTTCTAACTTCTACGGGATGCTAATTTCCTTCTTCAGAAGTCCAAACTCCTAAGAAAGAGGATTATTGCATAACCGAATTCACAATGGGATTGTTAGTAGAGCCACATGACATTAACCACCAGTTGACTGCTGGTATGGCCCTCACATCAATAATTGCTAAAGATTAAAAAAATAATGTTTAATTTCAATCTATAAAATAATCCTGAACGTAAGTCCATTCCTAAGGAAACAATTGCTGCTTTTTCATGCATACCGTGTAACAAGCTCAGAAGTCTCGGGATCCCATTGAAGAACACAGAATTTGTATCTTTCAGTTGCAATAAACAGATAGTCCTGTGCTTCACCCTGTTTGAGAGCAAAACAAGAAGAAGAAAAAGGATGATTTTAATGTAAGAATAAAACTAATACATTAAATAGCAATTCAACAAATATCGCTGGTTATTTTTATTTTCTCACATGAGGGCGGAAGAGTTCAAGTGTGGCAATCCTTCCATATATTGGCACGTCCAACACAGGCTGCAAAGAGAAATTCTACTTCAATAATCCGATTCTATTACATATTCATTCAAAGGGAATAATAAAATATTCCATTAAAAGGATTCAGCTCTAAAACAACTCATCCCGTGAGTAAAACAGTGCATTCAAAAGAGAAGAGAAGAGAAGAGAAGATGATACCTGCAAGCCTTGAGGAGAAAGCAAATGAATCTCGATGCGGGTGCATTTCCTGAATGAAAATCGAATTATTCACAATTAGAGAAAGTAATGAATAGAATTGAAATAAACGAACCCTAAGAAAGAGGAAAAAGTGAATGGAATGGAACGAGGGAATACGCAATAATGAGATTGAGGTCTTGAGGGCTAGTGAAATTGCCAACGCAGGAGTGAGTGACGTTGGTAGGTTTATGAGCTGTCACAACGTAGTTCCATATACTCATCCTTCTCTTCTCTTCTCTTCTCTTCTTCACTCTGAGCGCTGCTACAAAATACAAGCTCTCACTTCTTCTTACAATTGTTACTTAACCGCTTTGCTTCTTCGCAACAACCACCTCTCTCTCTCTCTCTCACACACACACACACACACACATCCCCTACTGAGTCGTTGCTTTGCGCTTTCGCTTTTGCCTTCAACGATAAGAGGTTATTTTTTATTGAGTAAATACCATTTTCGATGGTGATCAAATTTTATGACGTGCGCTTAGTTTTTAGTAAATAAAAACGTTATTTGTGATTTATAAAAAAATTTAAAGTAGATCTATTTTAGTCCTTTTAATGAATTAAGGTGGATCTTTTTTGAATTTATGAGGGACCATGATTTTAACTAAATGAATCCATTTTGAAGTTTTTAGAGACCACGAACTTTTTATTTGTTAGAGATTATATCGTAAAATTTACTCATAATCAAAAATGATGTTTACATTTTTTTATTTTATTTTATTTTTTTACTTTCGTTTTTTCTTTGTCCTTTTTCATTTGTTTCGCGCCAGCTAATTTTACCTCCAACGTCATCAAATGCCCGTATTCTGAAATTCTCATTTAAATAAAAGAGTAAATATTATTTTTGGTCTTCAGCAAATTTTACGATGCCTATTTTAGTTCCTAGCAATTAAAAAGGTCCATCGTGGTCCCTAAGAAATTCAATATAGACCCATTTAGTTGAAATCGTAGTCTCTCACAAATTCAAAAAAGACCCATATTAGTCCTAAAAGGACTAAATTGGATCCATTTTGAATTTTTTAGGGACCACGATGAGCCTTTTTATTTGTTAGGGATTAAAGCGAGCATCGTAAAATTTGCTAAGGATTAAAAAGGATATTTACTCTACATAAAAAATACTTCTGCTTCTCCTGTCTTTCTTTTTTTTCTTTTTTCTTTTTTCTTAAAATGCTTCTTCACACTCTAATATCGTGTAAAATCAATATTCAAAATACTGAGAAAATAAACTCGTGTCTTAATGAGCAGCACTTAGGGTTTGTATGATTATGTTCTAATTTTTCTTTTCTGTTTTTGTAAAATGGGAAAATATGTATTTTTTTCTTTTCTTCTTGTCATGGTTGTTTCTTTTTGTCCTAAGGTGGTGTTTGGTAGAGAGCTTTTCAGCGGATATCTATGTTTCTCAAGTATGGCTTTTAGAAACATCATGTTTGTTTCAACGTATTTTCACCAAAAACTCATCTATCCAATTTGTATGGATTTATGAAAAACATAGATATCCGCACTGTTTAGAAACCCAATTTGAAGGTGGGATTTTTCGGAAAACTGGTTATCTGACTTTTAATGCACTATTGATTTCATAAAGTTACCTAATTTTTTCAGTAAAGTTTTTCTCCACCAAACAATTTTTTTTTACATTTTTCTACCTATCTCACTTTATCTATCTTTCCAATCATTTCTCTATCTATTATATTTTCCTACTATTCCAAAAAAAAGTTTCGACCAAACACCCCCTAAGGGGATATTTGGTATAGGAGTTAATTTTTTTTACCGAGAAAAAATATTTCTCAAAATATAATAGAAGATATTTTTATCCGGATAAGTTAAGAAAAAGTGTTTGATAGGCAAAAATTTTACCATGAAAGTTACATTAATTTTAGGACTTGGTGTTTATCATTTTAAATGATATACGATATGTCATTTTAGGAGAGAGATAGAAACAGAAAATGAAAATCATGGGAGAGAAAAAGTGGGTGATTTTTTTTAATTTAAAATTTAAATAAAAAATTTATTTTATGTCTATCTCTTCTAAAATGACATAACTTTATATTATTTAAAATGACAAACACTTGTCCTTTAATTTTATTAATATTATATTTGATTTGTGATAAAATATTGATGAAAATCTTAGGGCAAATTTATAAAATTACCCATTCGTTGTTTGTAGTGGACCAATGCTTATCTGAACAGGTCATAGAAGAAGAGAATTTTAAAGAACGCCAACATGAATAGTACCAAGCCATTCATCGTATTTGAAATTGCAAGTTTTGTGTCAGAATTTTTGCCAAGTCTATTAACAAATTTTTCTCAACAATTATTTGTATGGTTTGTAGTTCTTCAATATTTACATGCAATCAGGGCATTCTTGTCTAAATAATGTTAAACGCGTTTCTCGGATTATAAGATAAAAATAATAGAAAATACTACTCTTATTTTATAATGTTATCTTACTTCAAAAATTTCACCTATTTTTTTATTTTTATTTTTTAATGATAGATTCTATGTGGCTTTTCTCCGTAATGAGAGAACTACTCTCGTATAAAATAAGAGTAGCATTCCCCAAAAACAATACCACAATTGGAATGACATTTTTTTTGCCAATGTCTAGTATAAATCAAGGGCTTGGTGTTTGTCATTTTAAATGACATAAGTTATGTCATTTTAAGAAAGAGATAGAAATAGAAAATGGAAGTTATGAGAGAAAGAAAGAGGGTTATTTTTTTAAAATTTAAATAAAAAATTTATTCTGTGTCTATCTCTCTTAATACGACATAACTTTATATCATTTTAAATGACAAACATTTTTCCCTTAAATCATATTCACAGGAAACATTTTGTACCAATATTTTTTAACTTCCACTCATATCAAATATGGTGAACTTATTTTTTCCACCCCATTTTCTCTGCAAATCTATCAAAATCTCCGTACCAAACCCCCCTAGGGGGCGTTTGGTAGAGGAGAAATTTTTTTTCTCAATTTTCAAAAATATGATTTTTACATTCAGTTTATGATAATATCCGTAAATTTAAATTTTAAATTTTTTTTAATAATTTTATAGTTTTCTAAACACCTCCAAATAGCACCTGCAGCTAGCTACTAGTAGAACAGATGCCCAAATCATATTAAAATTAATGATTAGAAGTTGTTCATGGATGACCAACTCTCAACATTCTGACAGCAAAAGTACATCAAAATAACCTTGACAACACCTGAATTAGGAAACTGTCAAGATATGTTTGCTACTATGATTCTTCTGTCAGAAGTCAGCTTTGTGCATTTGTTTGCAGTCTCTTCCACGTCCTTGTCAAGATTTCAGATATTGTTTTTCTTCACGAAAACGGACATCAGCGAGGTACCATTCGTTCTTTCATTTCGCCAATGCCCAATCTTCTAGCATGTTAGAAAGAATTCATTGTGAAAGACAGTGTAAAAATATTAACTTTGATGTACATCTACTCATAATATTAAGGGTCTAGTGTTTGTACTTTTTTTTCTCGATAAATTAGTGTTTGTTCTTTTAAAAATGTAAAATTATATTATTATTATTTTTAAATAAGAATTGTGTCATTTTAATTTTTAAGTGAGAGAAAAGAATACACAATACAAAAATATTTATCATTTTAAATGAGGGTCATTTTAGTTAAAATTATTATTTTTTAATTTAAAATTTAAATTAAAAAGAAAACCACACACTTTCTTTATAAATTTAAATTATTATAATTTTCTTTTTCCATGTAAAATGCATGCACGGTAAAATATAAGTATACGATGGAGGATCGAATATCTGATATTATTGTCACATCTCGATCTTAATCATTCCTTTTGAGTTCTTTTATATTTATTTCACTTCCTATTTTCAATTATTAATAAATAGTGTACTAGTCATGTAACATAATGTGCAACTCACTTGGCCATTTTAATACTAAAAAAACAAACTCACTTGGCCATTTATTTTGAAGGAGAGAGAGAATGAAAGAAAAGAAATAGGTTGATTGATAATATCAATTTGATATTATGTGACTAATGTCAGAAATAATATTACATGCAAATTAACATTTTTTTGTTACAAATGTGTAAATTAACATTTCCCATATTATAAAATGTATGATCCAATTAATAAATATAAATAATAATTGAAAAATTAGTTAAAAAGCCCAACCAAATATATCTAATGCGTAGAATTGTTGCATGTTCAATTTTTTTTTTCTTTAAGTATCAATATTTTTCTAAGTTATAAAATATTTATTAGTTATTAATATTCACAATAAATGTCTGAGATTTTTTATTTTCTTTTGAGTTTCCTCGAAGTATTTTCTAGTCGACAGCCAAAAATTATTTTTTTTGAGGCATAAAAAACATCGAAATGAATTTTGCTTCTATTAACAAAAAAATTTCCATATATACAAGTATAACCAATTAGCACTAAGTACTCAATAATTAAATTTGGTAATACCATTAAAAGATGTTTGAGACAGGAAAATGCAATGTAAGGACTATTTTAGTGCTCTCGTGTCCAATAGCGAAAAATTTACAGTACTCCCATCGCACTATTTACTCGGTGTGACGGGACAATTGAAATGGAGCATTTTTTATAATGTGTGTACGAAAAAAAAAAGAAAAAATAATAATTGAAGTATCAATTTTTTAATGAAAATCATAGTTACACCAAATGTATTGCTCTCATCCAATAGAAACAAGATATCAGTGCTCATACATCTATCCAATAGGAAAGGGAGAGAAAAATAACATCGTTAATTTATTCATAATAATAATGTCTCATTTTGAATGGCATTATACCTATTGTTAGGAGCGGTTGCACTAAAAATGTCCACTTCTTCACCCCTCCCTCTCTCACAGTGCAGTGTGTGTATTTCTTGCGTAGTATGTGTGAATATTTTACTAATTAAAATCTAACAAATTTTCCAGATCAAGGCAAAATAAAGTAAAATCATCAAGGTACCATTACATAAGAGAAAAGCTTAGATGCGGAGGAGCCCCTAATAACAACTAAGAAACCTGAGGGCCGAGCATAGCAGAGAAATAGAATATTGAGCACCAAAGGAAACAAATAATTTACAAATTAAACTGCAAAAAGAGATTATTTGCACAATTAGATATTCTTGTCGTGACCCAACATGAAAGCTAAGAATACCTTAGCAACAAAAACACAATTACAAAATGCTAACAAAGGTACACTTCCTAACCTTTCTCTAATTCCCTTTTCCTTTTGTCCATAATCACATCCAAAAGTATGAAATCAGTAGCAAGGTAGCAAGTTTCGGCCATAGGAAGCTTTGGTTATGCTTTCCAAATAAAGGTGGAGCAAAAGAATCTGCAGACCTGTCTTTTGAAAAAAAAAATGTAATTAAATAAAATATATACAAATTTAATTCAATTTTGACAAATTAGTTGTTATAATACTGTTTCATACCCAGATGATGAATAGACACATTTTCCATAACCTGAAGTGAAAGGAAACAAAAGAATTTAGTATGAACTCTATTATTTCAAAATTCAAATATGAACATCTCCAAAGAAACACTCAACTATTAAGTATTTCATCTTTAAAGACTAAGATTAAAACTCCAAAAAGCCGGAATAAAAGATATATGGGAAGAAAACAGGCTGCCCACTGCTCAGCACATAGTTTCCAGAAAGCATCCAATAAATAATGCGTCAAATTCACTCTCTATGACATCAGGAATTATGCTTTTTCTAGGAAAGAATAACATTTCTTTTTTTTCTTTTTTTTGATAACTGGAAAGAATAACAATGTAATCTCAAAGAATGTATCTACTTTAGATTATTTTTCATACATATCAACTCCGTGCAACTGCTTATTCAAAAGTGAACCACTATAGTATCTTCTGAAAACATCACATTACAGCACTTAATGTGATCTTCACATAATGCATCCACATACTTTATAGTGCGGCTATGCAATCTTAATCCAATACTTGTTTTTATAAACTTCGCGCAGGACAAAAAAATTCTGAATGACATTTATATATTTAACTTACTGGGGTTCTTTTTGGTAGTAGTAGCAGTTCCTCCAAAATTACAGGCAACATCAGAATTCCCATTTGTTTGATAGTAGTTGTTGAAAGCATAGGATGCATGAGATAGTAGTGTGTCTGGTTCAAAACATGATCCACCTATTTTGATGGGTTTGCAATCCACATTTTCAGGTCTACAAACCCAATCTAGAGCATTCTGCAAGTCAGCTTGTGAAACACCAGCAAGGGCCACACACCATGTTATACCATCAATGAATGTAGTGTTGCCTTCCGGCGGTGACAATATTGTGACTGGCATTGCACTATCGGACTTCTCTTGCACCACTATTCCCCTTGCCATGGCTAAATAATTTTGCCGGAGACATAGAAACAGGAAAATTAAAATTACTAAGTATTAAATAAATAAACCACAAACCCAATCATTCAATAGCTATAAATTTAATGACACTCATGAGATAGCATCAACCATAATTTCATAATTTCGTAGAATAGAATCTATTTTAGCACATGGAAAAGACAGGCTGTCTAGCTTCTTAACGTCAATGTTTGCAGGGTTTTAATGAGTGCAAATGAATAAAAGCAAATAGCCCCGTCACTTTAGATATACCTTAGTTACATAAAATTTAGACTATTTGAGGATTCTAGCATGGAGGAAGTAAAGTATCTGAACCCCATCACTCTTTTCCTATTATCTCCCCTTTCAATAAAAAAACTATCCTTGTTAGCCAAACCAAAAATTTGTCACGGTTTTGTTGTCAAAAAAAAAATTAGTGGGCTTAGGGTTTAAAGTCATGATAGGAAATAAGGTTACAAAGAATGTCTCAGGGGAGACAAAGCAAATATTTCATCACAATACTCAGAAGTGTGATTCAACTAAGGATTAAAAGAATAATGTTTTCCCTTACCCTGTTTACAAGACTACAAGTTGAAAAGGGGATGTAGGGTAGGGTAGTTTTGGAGGATTTTTATTTTTTATTTAGTTCTCTCCCACTTGATAAGAAGTATGCAAGGAAGAGCTTTAAGCATGCTTCCTCTGGTTGGTTTAACAGTCAAAAACTACTGCTTTTTCTCTGTTATATATTGAAAATTAACAAAAGTCAACCATTTTTGCCACCCTGAAAAACAAAAATATAGAGGAAACCATTTTTCAACTCATAGGTCCAAAAACTAAAAAAACCTAAAAGGTTAAGCATCGCAATGACAAATGTAAAAAAGAAAGAATGGAAGAAGAAGATTTACCGATTAGTTAACAAGTGACATAGTACAATAAGATCTGCTAAACTGAATAAGTTTTAAGAAAATGTGATCGTGAAATCAGCATATTGCATAGCAAGAAACTCAAGAGCCCAGTCTCAAGAACTAAAACAAAAAACAACCAAGAGAAGACAGAGCAAACAACAAGAAAAACAAACAAACCAAGAAACAGTTTCCCATGAAGAGACAGCATAAGAATAAGTACAATGGTTCAAACAAGGAGAAACAGAACATACCCAGATAGCATTCCATAAAAGCCAGGCACATAAAAAACCATACTTTCTTTCTCATGGTTCTGGCTTCAAAAAATCCACTTGTTCCAACCTTTATATATCACTCTCTCTGTATGTCTTAAGAGTGTAATGAAGGCTGCATGAACACGATTTGTATCAATGGAATCGCCTAATACTTCAAGGGAAATACATTTTTAATTTTATTTTTTTTACCTTTTTCACTTTTTCTGGTTTCTTAATTTTCTTTAGAGAAGAAGAATGAACCTGATGCTGAAATCGTATTGAAAATATGGCTAAACAAAATAACAAAATATGATTCCATAAAGAGAAAAATATTTGTTAATTTAAATTATATAAAGTTATGTCATTTTTAATGAAACTATGTCATTTTGGTAAGTTTTTACATTCTCTTACCTTCATTTTATTTTCATTTCTAATTTTATAAAGGGTAAATGATTTCGCTAGTCACTAGAGATAAAGTTATCTCCAGTGAGCCCAAAACGATGTTGTTTTGGGTAGAAATCAAGGTATTTTTGTAATTATAATATATTGCAGGGTTATATTAGTCTTTGTCATTATAATTTTTTAATCTTATAACCCAAAACGACGTCGTTTTGAGCTCAATGGAGATAACTTTATCTTCAGTGGCTGAAGAAATACTTTTCCCTTTTATAAATTAGAGAAAATGACAAAACACACCAAAATAACGTAGTTTCGTTAAAAATGACAAACACTAAACCTTTCTATAAAAGAGTAATCGTGGTGTTTTCAATTTCTATTAACAAAATAATAAAATTTAACTTGTTAATCCAAAATTTTAAAAATAAGAAAAAAAATTAAAATAAATGTAATGATAAATAATTTCTAAAATAAATAAATAATTATAATTAAATCATTCAAACATGTCTCAAATTTTAGATTTCAAATCATGCCAATTGTGTTATTTTTATTTTTTTTACCAAAAAAAACACAATCATATCTCTTATTTAATTTGGATTTGAATTAGATTGTAATTTATTATATTTTAAATTATTGCTTCTTTTAATAATTGAATCATACTTATTGGACCACAATTTTGATTGATTCTGAGCTTCTTGGATCAATTTTTTTTTTTTTGAACAAATGGGAAAATATTTGTTAATTTAAACGATATAAAGTTATGTCATTTTTAATGAATCTACGTCATTTTGGTAAGTTTTTATATTCTCTCTCCTTCATTTTCTTTTCATTTCTAATTTTATAAATTAGAGAAAATGACAAAACACACCAAAACGACATAGTTTCAGAAAAAATGACAAACACTAAACCCTTCCATAAAAGAGTAATTGTGGTGTTTTCAATTTCTATTAACAAAATAATAAAATTTAACTTGTTAATCCAAAATTTAAAATCTAAAATTTTAAAAATAAGAAAAAAAATTAAAATAAATGTAAAGATAATTAATTTATAAAAATAAATAAATAATTATAATTAAATCATTCAAACATGTCTCAAATTTTAGATTTCAAATCATGCCAATTGTGTTATTTTTATTTTTTACCAAAAAAAACACAATCATATCTATTATTTAATTTGAATTTGAATTTGATTGTAATTTATTATATTTTAAATTATTGCTTCTTTTAATAATTGAATCATACTTATTGAACCACAATTCTGGTTGATTCTCAGCTTTTTGGATCAATAGTTTTTTTTTTTAACAAATTGAATCAATAGTTGAATTATATGCAATTGACAATCTATAAGTGCATCGGAACTAGGGGTGTTAACGGGCCGAGCCGAGCCGAGCTTTGATCTTAACGGGTCAAGCCTGTATTTAAACGTGTCTGACTGGCCTTAGCCTGTTACATGTTATGAATATAATATTGGCATGTGGCCTGGTTTATTTACAAAAAATAAAAGCATGTGTGAAGCCTGACTTAGCCTGTTAGCATGTTAAAGAATAAAAATAAGATAACAGAATTCCACAAAAAAACAATTTCCAGATAGAAACCTTCTTCCAATTTGCAGTAATAATTTACAAAGTCTACAATAAATAAATAAAAATTAAAGTGAGAGAAGGTAGATAACATGTTATATTATCTTAGCCCATTATAAAAAAAGTGCCAACAAAAATAAAAATAAGATAAATAAAATAAAAAATAAATTGACACAAACGAGCAGTGCACAGTGGAACGAATGAGTTTTTGTGGGTTTGTTTGTGTGAAGGAGGATGAAGGATAATATAGAACAACACTAGTAATTCCATAAATATACATAAATTCAATATATATCCAAATAGCATAATATAGAACAAAATCATTTAAAAAGTCTGTTAAACCAATAAAATGGGGTGAAATAAATTGATGAGAGAGAGTTATTACAAGTAGTATAAAAAGTATAAAAAAAATATTTATATATTAGGCTAGCCTTGGAAGCTCTAAGGCCGAGCTTCTGAATTAGAGCCTGAGGCCTTTTTATTAAACGAGTTTTTATACAAGTTCAAGCCTGGTTCCAACACGAGCTTTTATTAAACGAGCTCAGGCCTTTACGAGCCAAGCCAAAAGCCCCTGAAAAGCCCCTAGCTCGTTTACCACCCCTAATCGAAACCCTTCCTAAAAGTACTCTATTTGGCAGGCTGGAGCGGGGATTCGTTTGAACCTTTTTCACAACAGTCACACTGCAACAAAAGGTGATACAATCCAGCATGTAAAAGAAAGCAGAGTCTATATTTGTTATTATTATTTGCATGATTTGATATGCTACATATTTATGACCCCTTCAAATGTCGTGTTAATATTAACATTGTATAGGGTAGATCCGTCTTTCTTATGTTTCATGTGGTCTTTTTTTTAGTATTTTTTAATAGGGTTTTATAAGAGTTATGTTGTAGGAAAAGTGATTGTGTTATGTTATAGAGATTCGTTTTGCGTGCCGAAGTTTTTTTTTTTTGTTGCGGGCCCCACAAAATGTTGTGAGTGTAGGAAAATTTTTGTGGTCATATTAAATGATAGATGATAAACCCTTTTTAATATTTATTTATTTCTCTTATTCATTTTTCTCTTTTCTCAATTTTTTCTTACTTCTTATTTGGGTTCAATAACTGTTGGAGATTATATGTAACAGTATATTGTTTGAATTCTTTGTAACGTATATTGTTTGAATTCTTTGTAACCGTAGGACTGTTTAGATAGAGTATTTATTTATTTTAGTCTGTTACGTTGTTACCATTTATTGTATGTTCGCCTATTTAAAGGCTACCAATGAATGAGATAAACACACAGTTGAAATATCAAGTTTATCTTGGTATCAGAGCAATCCTAGTATACATGTTTCCGCATTCCCTTTCAGTGCGAAAGCTGGTTCATTTAACATGGCACCAAGTGGTGGCAGCAAGTCCAAAACATCTGATCCTAGTTCACCATTTTACTTGGCTGGATCTGACAGTCCAGGTCTCTTGTTAACGACTGTCATGCTGCGTGGTGAGGCCAACTATGACAACTGGGCCAAGCTCATGAAAAACGCATTGAAGGCGAAAAACAAATTGGGTTTTGTGGCCGGTTCAGTCAAGAAACCAGGAGAGGATGATGCCGAAGAGTGGCGCGCCTGGGAGATGTGCAATTCGATGCTCAATGGTTGGATTCACAACACCATTGATGCAAAACTTCAACCATTCATCAAGTGCTTTGATGACGTCAAGGACTTATGGAATGACCTAGAGGAAAGGTATGCAGTGCAAAACTTTCCAAGACAGTATCAACTGAAATCCAGTTTAGCCAATATCAAGCAACATGGAGATAGCGTTGGTGATTATTACACCAAACTCAGGGCTGTATGGGACGATCTGGAAGGCAGCAAAACTCGCAAGTCTTGCGATTGTGGTGATAAGTGTGCCATTGCCAAAGCAATCGAGGAGGAGCAAGAGCATGATCGCGTTTATCAATTTTTGATGGGGCTGGATGAATCTACATTTGGCAATCTGAGATCCCATATCCTCAACACTTCTCCTCTTCCTAGTGTCAACAAAGTGTACGCAATTGTCACTCAAGAGGAGACCCATCGTAGTATTTCTCGCGTTCAAGATGAGAGGAGTCAGGTAGTGGGATACTTAACCCAAACTGATTCCATGAAGCAGTCAGACACGTTCATGCAGCAGCGGATGGTTCCTAACAAACCACAAGACAGAATACCTTGCCCTCATTATGGCAGGACTAATCACGACCCTTCCAAATGCTGGAACGTTCATGGTTTTCCACCAAACGGGAGTGCTGGTCGCGGACGAGGAAGGGGAGGACGTTCGGCAGGACGTTATACGCATGCTCATGCGACGTTTGCAATGGATGCCTCACACCCAGTTGCTGCTAACTCTCTTGAACGGTTTTCCACCAAACGGGAGTGCTGGTCGCGGACGAGGAAGGGGAGGACGTTCGGCAGGACGTTATACGCATGCTCATGCGACGTTTGCAATGGATGCCTCACACCCAGTTGCTGCTAACTCTCTTCCTCCAGATGTCTCCCATTCTGCCTCTTCTCAAGTTGCTGCACACTCCGTTTTAACCCCAGAAATTGTGAACAAACTGTTAACATTGGTAGACCAGCCTCAGTCACATGAAAAATTATCTGGTAAGCGTATTCATTCTCAATGGCTCATTGATAGTGGGGCCTCACGTCATATGACAGGCACTTTGGCTTTATTAGCTGACATTACACATATTCCCCCTCTATCTGTGACTCTACCAAATGGTTCTATTACTTATGCTGCAAAACAAGGCTCGATGGTGTTTAATACAAACTTCAGCTTGTCAAATGTTTTATATGTGCCTAACTTACGCTGCAATCTCATCTCTGTTTCCCAATTGCTTCACTCCAAGAGCAGTAGCGTTACATTTACTGATAAAAAGTGCATTTTGCAAGACCAAGTGCTGAAGAGGGAGATTGGTTTGAGTGAACTTCATGAAGGAGTCTATCTATATGTTTCAGCCTTCATGTGCTTCAGCTTCGGCAGTTCTAGCAAGAGAGTCATGCATCCTATGATATCTTATTGTTTGAATTCAATTCTTTGTAACCGTAGGTTTGAATTCTTTGTAACGTATATTGTTTGAATTCTTTGTAACCGTAGGACTGTTTAGATAGAGTATTTATTTGTTTTAGTCTGTTACGTTGTTACCATTTATTGTATATTCGCCTATTTAAAGGCTACCAATGAATGAGATAAACACACAGTTGAAATATCAAGTTTATCTATAACCATCAACCATAATTAATCTGAGATGAAGGTAATACTGATGTTGATTTTTTATTGTCATATTGATATTTTTATTTTTATAATATAATTTCACTTGTTATGAAATTAAATTATTAGATATGACAGATAAACAAAAGGAAACTAATAATGAAATAAAATCTATTTATTTAAAATCAAATAGATAACTAATGAAAAGAGTCGTGAATTGATAAATGAAGGAGAAGAATACATGAAAAAGTGGGCTTTTTGACCCTTTTGCCCCTCGTTAATTAATTAATAACCATTTTGCCCCTGATTCAAAACTATCTATCAATCTGCCCCTCTTTAATCGATTAACTTGAATACTTAATCGATTAAATGGTTAACTCGAGATTTAATCGATTAAATCTCCTTATTTTAATCGATTAAAAAATTATATTGACTTGAAATCCTTTGTTACCTGTTGGAAGATTTAATCGATTAAATCTCGAGTCAACCATTTTTGCCTGTTTTGACCATTTAATCGATTAAATATTTAAGTTAATCGATTAAAGAGGGGCAAATTGGTGGATAGTTTTGAATGAGGGGCAAAATAATTATTAATTAATTAATGAAGGGTAAAAGGGTGAAAAAGCCTGAAAAAGTGATGTAGCTGTAGTTAATATAAATTAATTAGCTTGATTTTGGATTTTGGATTTTTTTTTTTTTTTTTGTTAAAAAGGAGGGCCTAGCCCAGAAAGATTAAATTGAAAGCTGATGCATGTTAAAGGAAACATGCTCCATCAGTAAGAAATTAAAAAAGTCTCTCCAAGAAGGAAAAACGCTTGCAGGAGGAGAGGAATAAAGTTTCAACTCTCCACCCCTACAGCTGAAATATAACAGAGCTAGACGATCAGCACAGCTATTAAACTCTCTAGGAATAAACTCAAAATAAACATGCTCAAAGGAATGGACAATTCTCCTGATTTTACTAAGCAGGGGAGAGTAACTGTCCGAATCAGTAGAAGCTTTTATGCAAAAGAGAGCTTCCTTACTATCACACCCAATCCAAACATCCTTCACCTGCAAATCCAAAGCCAACTGGAGCCCCTGCCAAACCCCCCCAAATCTCAGCCTCTAAGATCGAGGTAGTCCCAATGTTGTAAGAAAAGCCACTCAACCAAACTCCACTTGGATCACAGATGAAGCCTCCACATGCTCCTCTGCTAGAGTGATGGTTGACAACCCCATCTACCAGAATTTTAACAGCATCCTGGTGTTCCTTTTTACTACATCCAACAAAAGAAATGGGGTCTGTTTGAATTTTCGGGAAAGGATCCCCATTGCAGGTCAACTTCATATCTCCCAGATAATTCAGAATCTTGCTAATCGGGTCACCAGGCCATATAAACTCCCCATCATGAATCACAAGGTTTCTCCATTGCCAAAGAAACCAACAAGATACAAAAAAGACTTCCTTCCAGGAGTGCCACAGTTTGGATGAGAAGGATGAACAAATGTTGAGCTTAAACCAGTCAATATCTACTGCTGTCAAAAAAGAGTTGGGAATTATACCTCCAAACCAGTTTTCCCACATATTCCTAGCTCTTCTACAATCCCTAAGAACATGCATCAATGACTTTTGCTCAACTAGACAGATTGGGCAGAGGCTCTCTCCTCCATTCCACTGACAGGTGATACTCCTAGTAGGAAGCTTATTTAAACACGCAATCCATAAGAATACTGCTATTCTATATGGACCCTTCCATTTCCAGATGCAAGACCAGATTTTGTCTCTCTCTGCATTCAAGTCAGCAAGCTGACAGTAGGCATTTCGAACCAGAGATCTACTAGGACTATTCCTTGCCCAACAGAGCCTGTCTTTTGGTCCATTTGGCATAGGTGGCAACATGGAATTAAACTTTCCAAGAATGGATTCATCAAAATACAGAGTCAAGTAGTCCCACTTCCAGTTACCTGTAACAGGGTCAACAATATCACAAATTCTCAACTCTAAATCAGGGGCAGGAGGCTTCATAGAAGCAAGATCAAACAAGTTACATTCCCATCCACACCAACAATCCGACCAGAAAGAAATAAAGTTTCCATTGCCCACCTCCCAACTCAGATATTGGTCCAGCTTAGTTCTAGCTAGACAAATATTCTTCCATAAGGAAGAGTCACTCTTTCGTGCAATAAAACCTCTTCTGGGATCAAGCTTCCTACCATATTTGCCAAGAAGAACTTTGGCCCAAAGGCTATCCTGATCATTAATAAGCATCCAGGATATCTTTTGCATGAAGGCTTCATTTTGAGTTCTGAGCTTGATAATACCAAGTCCACCACATTCCTTAGGCTTGCATAATTGGTCCCACGCAACATAATGAGCCTTCCTTTTATCATTTGTATCTCCCCAGATGAACTTGCGTTGTAATTTTTCTATATCTTGGCAGATATGAATTGGCAGCACATTATTCTGCATGTGATACAATGGAATAGCAGAAATAACACTCTTTGCCAATGTGATTCTCCCAGCCATAGACAAGGACTTGGCTTTCCATCCTTGAAGCCTATTCTGCACTCTAGCTATGACATTAGCATAATGATTTCTACCAATCCTACCATGTCTCATTAGTGTTCCCAAATAGCAGCCAATATTCTTTACCACCTTGAAGTCACTAACATCCGAGATAGAGTTGACAGTCTCCTGAAGAGTAGCTGTAGTTAATATAAATTAATTAGCTTGATTTTGGATTTTGGATTAATTTGTGATTGGAGAGAAGGGGGAAAAGAGAGGAAAGAATTGGTGTAGCTGTTGCCAGTGGCGGACCTACTTATGGGCCTGTGTCCGCAAGTGCGGACACAAACTTTTGGAAAAAAAAAATTACACCCAAACTTTTGAAAAAAAAAAATTACACCCAATCAATCTTAGTTGTTACTGCAAACAAAACACACACACAGAGATAGATAGTGATGGTGATGATACTGAGTGAGAGAAAGAAGAAACTGGGATTGTAGATGGGATCATTTGCTTCTCAAACAAACTGGGATCGACATTTCAAAATGTAAAGATTCCACCTTTTCAGCGATTCAAACAAAAAAAAAACTATATTAACAACAAGGAAAAAGATTTTCAGCAATTCAAACCAAAAAAATCAGATTTTCAGCTATCCCACCACATCATCGACTAGAAGTTGCGAGCATTCCTCCGACAGGCTTTCAAAAATTTGTATACCCCAACCAAGTCTACGTGCCATCGAAGCCAACTGGTTCACTACACGGTTTGCTTCTCCGAACTCATAGGATAAGTTGAGAGAGAGGAAGATCAAATACAAGGTCACAAACACCTACACGTCTCAATCCTTATCTAGCATCTTTTATTTATTTTTATTATTTTTACATATTCCAATACAAATTTTTGACTTCAATCTCATTATTTTTCTTTTATTTGAATTAGCTGAGTAGTTTATTTGTATAATTAATAAATAATAATAATTAATTTCTTCTTTATAATTTGATATTTTTAGTTAAATGATGATTTGATTTAATGGTTATTGAATATATTTGAATTAATTTGGATTAATTGTTATTGTATAATTTGGTTTGATTGAATTAATTGTTATTATATATATTAAATATAATTTTATATGCATAGGTATGATTTTATAATCTATGTTGATCTTATGATTTATGATTTTTTTATCCCCTAACGATCTTAGGTAAAATCTCGATCTTAACAATATTGTCCATGACACACAAATATTAGAAGCAGCCATTTGATACTGAGTGAGTGATTATATTTCAATTTAAATATAACAAAACCTACTCCTTTATATATTCTTTTGTTAAAGTTGAAGTTTTCTTTAATTTTCTTGTTTATATTCTTTTATTTTTTAATATATTTAATACTTTCTTTTAAAAAAAATTCGAGAACACTGTTTCAAATCCCTGTCATTAAATGTCTGGATATGAATAAAAGTTTCTAGATCCGCCACTGGCTGTTGCAATACACTTTATTTTTGGGGGGAAGATACAGACCTTCATTTTATTGCTGCAATTATATAGTGTTTAAAAGTCAATAATTTTGGCAGTTTTATAGTGTAACAATTCACCAATTTAAAATTGATTCATGTATGCGAACCATAAATATTTTGTCAATGAACCACGACGTATGGTTCAATTAAGAAATTGAATTTTATATGGAAAGACTCGAAGTATATTCATATGACAAGAGGCCGACTTAATTTTTCCATTTCCACCAACACATATATAACCCACCGGTTCAAAGGAAACACACAGAAATTAAAACAACACTGAATTTCTGGAAATTACATAAGGCCGACTTAATATTCTGAACATAACCAACTCAACTTAGGCCCATTTAGTATAACAGCCATTCCAGCGTTTGGGCTTACTTCTCATTCAAATGGGTCGTCCATTACTTGGGTCCACTTTTGCATCTCATTTTATAGCACCCTTTCTTATGTTAAATGGATCTCTTATTCTTGAAAAACAAAATCCTTAACAGTTATTTATGCTCTCATATTGTTTGTCCATAACCTTACCTGTAACTTTTATCCACGCATCATATTCATACCAATTTATTTATGAACTAAAATATAGCATTAAAGACTATATTAACATAACCACCAAAAAAAAAAAAAAACTATATTAAACATGTTAAACCACATCTAGATAATTGCGTAAAGAATACAACCGCGGAGCACAAATTCATAAATTTAAAATAAATGGGAGAGCTAGCCTCACCATAATGTGGATGTTCCCTCTTCGAACATGATTATCTCCCGTGGAGCATACTTGTGGTTTATAA